TTCCTATCGTAAATATACACAATTCTTCTTCAGGACTCAAGTCCAAATTATTAATAGAAACAAAGATATACGTCTTTCACTCAGGTGCATACTCTTTAGGTTTACTAAATCAACCGTGTTACGGAGATTGGCTTAAATTTTGAATACATTATGGGCATGCTGAAATACGATTTGCGTTGGGTTCCTATCGTAAATATACACAATTCTTCTTCAGGACTCAAGTCCAAATTATTAATAGAAACAAAGATATACGTCTTTCACTCAGGTGCATACTCTTCAGGTTTACTAAATCAACTGTGTTACGGAGATTGGCTTAAATTTTGAATACATTATGGGCATGCTGAAATACGAGTTGCGTTGGGTTCCTATCATAAATTTACACAATTCTTCTTCAGGACTCAAGTCCAAATTATTAATAGAAACAAAGATATAAGTCATTCACTCAGGTGCATACTCTTCGGGTTTACTAAATCAACCGTGTTACGGAGATTGGCCTAAATTTTGAATACATTATGGGCATGCTGAAATACGATTGCGTTGGGTTCCTATCGTAAATATACACAATTCTTCTTCAGGACTCAAGTCCAAATTATTAATAGAAACAAAGATATACGTCTTTCACTCAGGTGCATACTCTTCAGGGTTACTAAATCAACCGTGTTACGGAGATTTGCTTAAATTTTGAATACATTATGGGAATGCTGAAATACGAGTTGCGTTGGGTTCCTATCGTAAATATACACAATTCTTCTTCAGGACTCAAGTCCAAATTATTAATAGAAACAAAGATATATGTCTTTCACTCAGGTGCATACTCTTCAGGTTTACTAAATCATTCGTGTTACGGAGATTGGCTTCAATTTTGAATACATTATGGGCATGCTGAAATACGAGTTGCATTGGGTTCCTATCGTAAATATACACAATTCTTCTTCAGGACTCAAGTCCAAATTATTAATAGAAACAAAGATATAAGTCTTTCACTCAGGTGCATACTCTTCGGGTTTACTAAATCAACCGTGTTACGGAGATTGGCCTAAATTTTGAATACATTATGGGCATGCTGAAATACGATTGCGTTGGGTTCCTATCGTAAATATACACAATTCTTCTTCAGGACTCAAGTCCAAATTATTAATAGAAACAAAGATATACGTCTTTCACTCAGGTGCATACTCTTCAGGGTTACTAAATCAACCGTGGTACGGAGATTGGCTTAAATTTTGAATACATTATGGGAATGCTGAAATACGAGTTGCGTTGGGTTCCTATCGTAAATATACACAATTCTTCTTCAGGACTCAAGTCCAAATTATTAATAGAAAAAAAGATATACGTCTTTCACTCAGGTGCATACTCTTCAGGTTTACTAAATCAACCGTGTTACGGAGATTGGCTTAAATTTTGAATACATTATGGGCACGCTGAAATACGAGTTGCGTTGGGTTCCTATCGTAAATATACACAATTCTTCTTCAGGACTCAAGTCCAAATTATTAATAGAAACAAAGATATAAGTCTTTCACTCAGGTGCATACTCTTCGGGTTTACTAAATCAACCGTGTTACGGAGATTGGCCTAAATTTTGAATACATTATGGGCATGCTGAAATACGAGTTGCGTTGGGTTCCTATCGTAAATATACACAATTCTTCTTCAGGACTCAAGTCCAAATTATTAATAGAAACAAAGATATACGTCTTTCACTCAGGTGCATACTCTTCAGGGTTACTAAATCAACCGTGTTACGGAGATTGGCTTAAATTTTGAATACATTATGGGAATACTGAAATACGAGATGCGTTGGGTTCCTATCGTAAATATACACAATTCTTCTTCAGGACTCAAGTCCAAATTATTAATAGAAACAAAGATATACGTCTTTCACTCAGGTGCATACTCTTCAGGTTTACTAAATCAACCGTGTTACGGAGATTGGCTTAAATTTTGAATACATTATGGGCATGCTGAAATACGAGTTGCGTTGGGTTCCTATCGTAAATATACACAATTCTTCTTCAGGACTCAAGTCCAAATTATTAATAGAAACAAAGATATACGTCTTTCACTCACGTGCATACTCTTCAGGTTTACTAAATCAACCGTGTTACGGAGATTGGCTTAAATTTTGAATACATTATGGGCATGCTGAAATACGAGTTGCGTTGGGTTCCTATCGTAAATATACACAATTCTTCTTCAGGACTCAAGTCCAAATTATTAATAGAAACAAAGATATAAGTCATTCACTCAGGTGCATACTCTTCGGGTTTACTAAATCAACCGTGTTACGGAGATTGGCCTAAATTTTGAATACATTATGGGCATGCTGAAATACGATTGTGTTGGGTTCCTATCGTAAATATACACAATTCTTCTTCAGGACACAAGTCCAAATTATTAATAGAAACAAAGATATACGTCTTTCACTCAGGTGCATACTCTTCAGGGTTACTAAATCAACCGTGTTACGGAGATTGGCTTAAATTTTGAATACATTATGGGAATGCTGAAATACGAGTTGCGTTGGGTTCCTATCGTAAATATACACAAATCTTCTTCAGGACTCAAGTCCAAACTATTAATAGAAACAAAGATATATGTCTTTCACTCCGGTGCATACTCTTCAGGTTTACTAAATCAACCGTGTTACGGAGATTGGCTTAAATTTTGAATACATTATGGGAATGCTGAAATACGAGTTGCGTTGGGTTCCTATCGTAAATATACACAATTCTTCTTCGGGACTCAAGTCCAAATTATTAATAGAAACAAAGATATACGTCTTTCACTCAGGTGCATACTCTTCAGGTTTACTAAATCAACCGTGTTATGGAGATTGGCTTTAATTTTGAATACATTATGAGAATGCTTAAATACGAGTTGCGTTGGGTTCCTATCGTAAATATACACAATTCTTCTTCAGGACTCAAGTCCAAATTATTAATAGAAACAAAGATATACGTCTTTCACTCAGGTGCATACTCTTAAGAGTTACTAAATCAACCGTGTTACGGAGATTGGCTTAAATTGTGAATACATTATGGGAATGCTGAAATACGAGTTGCGTTGGGTTCCTATCGTAAATATACACAATTCTTCTTCATGACTCAAGTCCAAATTAATAATAGAAACAAAGATATAAGTCTTTCACTCAGGTGTATACTCTTCGGGTTTACTAAATCAACCGTGTTACGGAGATTGGCCTAAATTGTGAATACATTATGGGAATGCTGAAATACGAGTTGCGTTGGGTTCCTATCGTAAATATACACAATTCTTCTTCAGGACTCAAGTCCAAATTAATAATAGAAACAAAGATATAAGTCTTTCACTCAGGTGCATACTCTTCGGGTTTACTAAATCAACCGTGTTACGGAGATTGGCCTAAATTTTGAATACATTATGGGCATGCTGAAATACGAGTTGCGTTGGGTTCCTATCGTAAATATACACAATTCTTCTTCAGGACTCAAGTCCAAATTATTAATAGCAACAAAGATATACGTCTTTCACTTAGGTGCATACTCTTGAGGTTTACTAAATCAACCGTGTTACGGAGATTGGCCTAAATTTTGAATACATTATGGGAATGCTGAAATACGAGTTGCGTTATTTTGAAACCAGCGCCTGGAGGAGTTGAGAGCGTCTCTCACTAGGACTCGATCCTAGGTTGCTCCCCTTGCCGGCGTCCGGCGCCACCACCCGCGGTGGTGCGCCGCCGGAGCCCTCCGGGCTCCGGTTGGCTGGTTGCTTGACATTGTTCGTTTGGTCTTTGACCTTATGATTTTTGGAAAATGGTTTGCGGACTGCTTATGGATTGGAGGTTGGTTCAAGCGTGAACTCTGAAATTGGAATCCGCAACTGCGGAGCTTCGGTTCTTCGCTCACAAGGAAACCGAACTGTGCTGGACTTTTGGTCATCACCGATGGCGGCCGTGGGAGCTTTTGATTTGGTGACGTAAAGGTGTTGGCTGGCTTCTGGTGCGAAACGGATTCCTGGAACGCGAAGTGCTCAACTCCTGGGTTGTGGTTGACGGCAAGTTGCTGGACTGCTTTAGCTTGGGGATTGTTGACTTAACTGCTGCGCAGTGGGAATGGAGCACCGGCAGTGCCTGAACCTTGTTTGAAGGCCGGTGAGAAGGATATTGGTGGGTTGGGGACTGTCCGTTAACCTGGAAGGCTGCGTTATTGGTGTTTCTGGGCTGGAATTCAACGGCCGGAGTTTCAAGGTGGCTGGCAAACCTCCGTTTTGGGCTGATGCTTCTGTACAGGGTCTGGTGGTTCTACTGCCGGTTTATGCTTCAGGTATTGACCACCGTTCTCGCCCTCATCTTTTCCTTTTTCATTTATTACCGGGGTGAAAACTCTCCGGCGAGTGCAGCACCTTCGTCCTCGGACGTGTCGCCGGAATGGTTGGGGATGTTCAAAGTGTCGGAGGACAGTGGATGGGGACACTCGTCAATGACATTTTTACTCCCAAAATGTTTAAGGAACCTGTTCGTCTTCCTCGCTGCATCTGTAAGCTTGCAGGTCTTTTCATCTTCCATGGGTAATGGCGTTTTCCGTGGCAGCACCGATTGAGGGGTCCGGGTGCACGTCTTTTTTCGCGGCCATTACCTATCGCTACTTCGTTACGGATCCCGGGCTGGGCCAAGGTTGGGGGTCTGGAGTTTGTAGTCACCGGTGGGATTTACCTGAAAACGGGGACTGTCCTCCGTTCGTTGACCTGTGCGGAAGAAGATGACCAGAACTAAGGCGAGCTTGGCTACCTCTGTTACAATGCGCCTGAGGTTTTCCGGCCTTGAGGGTCTACCTTTCACTTGTTTTGTGGTGCTCTTTGCCCGAGAAGATGACCGGAAACCTTTGGGATCTGGGTTTTGGATTAGGGCTGTGGTTCGTTTTCCGGGTACTATTAATGCACCGTTATTCCACCATCTTATCTTTGCCGCCGGGGGTCACCGGGGCTCGACGGGGATGGGGGTGGAAAATGGGTTTACTAGTTAGCAGAGGTTTCTTTCCGGCTGGTTGCTTTGCTTCTTCCACCAATGTCGCCGGGTTGGACGCCGGAGCCCGGTGGGGGTGGAGGGGGAGATACGAGGTGGATTGGTTACATTCCGGTTTGTTCACGATGCTTCTCACTGCTGCTTCGCCGTCGACGCCGGGGTGATGCCGGAACCCGACAGAGGTGAGGTGGTGGTGGGGGATATGGTTACTTCTCCGGCTGGTTCTCTTCGCCCTCCGTTCGCCGGCCATCAGAGAGCCTTGGGTCGCCGGGACCAGGTGGGCTGGTTGGTAGGGGGTGGGTTACGGTTGACAGACAGATGATGGACAGGTGGACAGTGTACTTTTGTACAGGCTGTCACCACGCCTGTGACTTTTCAAAATTTGAATTGATGCTGGGATTTCGCGCCTACCACTGCGGCGCTGCGATGAGGATGCCTGATAGGAGATTGGGCTATGTTTGCTGCGGAACCCTAGTGGGCCTTGGAGGATTGGGCTTCGCTCAAGCTGACATTGGATGCTGGGACGCTGCTGCTAATTTGACGCAAATTGGGCCGTGGACCTTCACTGGTCTTGCTGGAATGCTTTCTTTTAGCATGCCTGTTCAACAGTGGGCCTTTGGGCTCACCTGCTGGGCTTTGATCTTGAGCTGCTGTTACTTTGTTGCTGAGTAGTGGACGGGCCTTTGCTGGCCCAGAAGCTAGGAAGCTTGGATGATGGTGATCTTTTTGCTGGATTTTCCCAATGATGGGCCTTCATTGGCTTGGACTTGGGTTTTGATTTATTTTTGATGAATGAGTCGGGGACTATCCCGTACCATTCTTGGATTGTATTTTTGTGATGTCTTTTGGACTTCGGAAAAACTCCTCTCTCCCCCCCTTGCCGCAAGGTGGGGGGGGGGGGGGGCGGAGACGGTAGATTCTATTTTAGGTTAGCCTGCTAGCTTAGATAGATCTTTTTGATACATGTATTGTTATTTTTCTGGATATATATTTACATTTTATCCAAAAAAAAAAGAAATACAAGTTGCGTTGGGTTCCTATCGTAAATATACACAATTCTTCTTCAGGACTCAAGTCCAAATTATTAATAGAAACAAAGATATACGTCTTTCACTCAGGTGCATACTCTTCAGGTTTACTAAATCAACCGTGTTACGGAGATTGGATTAAATTTTGAATACATTATGGGAATGCTGAAATACGAGTTGCGTTGGGTTCCTATCGTAAATATACACAATTCTTCTTCAGGACTCAAGTCCAAATTATTAATAGAAACAAAGATATACGTCGTTCACTCAGGTGCATACTCTTCAGGTTTACTAAATCAACCGTGTTACGGAGATTGGCTTAAATTTTGAATACATTATGGGAATGCTTAAATACGAGTTGTGTTGGGTTCCTATCATAAATATACACAATTCTTCTTCAAGACTCAAGTCCAAATTATTAATAGAAACAAAGATATACGTCTTTCACTCAGGTGCATACTCTTCAGGTTTACTAAATCAACCGTGTTACGGAGATTGGCTTAAATTTTGAATACATTATGGGAATGCTGAAATACGAGTTGCGTTGGGTTCGTATCGTAAATATACACAATTCTTCTTCAGGACTCAAGTCCAAATTATTAATAGAAACAAAGATATACGTCTTTCACTCAGGTGCATACTCTTCAGGTTTACTAAATCAACCGTATTACGGAGATTGGCTTAAATTTTGAATACATTATGGGAATGCTGAAATACGAGTTGCGTTGGGTTCCTATCGTAAATATACACAATTCTTCTTCAGGACTCAAGTCCAAATTATTAATAGAAACAAAGATATACGTCTTTCACTCAGGTGCATACTCTTCAGGTTTACTAAATCAACCGTGTTACGGAGATTGGCTTAAATTTTGAATACATTATGGGAATGCTGAAATACGAGTTGCGTTGGGTTCCTATCGTAAATATACACAATTCTTCTTCAGGACTCAAGTCCAAATTATTAATAGAAACAAAGATATACGTCTTTCACTCAGGTGCATACTCTTCAGGTTTACTAAATCAACCGTGTTACGGAGATTGGCTTAAATTTTGAATACATTATGGGCATGCTGAAATACGAGTTGCGTTGGGTTCCTATCGTAAATATACACAATTCTTCTTCAGGACTCAAGTCCAAATTAGTAATAGAAACAAAGATATACATCTTTCACTCAGGTGCATACTCTTCAGATTTACTAAATCAACCGTGTTACGGAGATTGGCTTAAATTTTGAATACATTATGGGCATGCTGAAATACGAGTTGCGTTGGGTTCCTATCGTAAATATACACAATTCTTCTTCAGGACTCAAGTCCAAATTATTAATAGAAACAAAGATATACGTCTTTCACTCAGGTGCATACTCTTCAGGTTTACTAAATCAACCGTGTTACGGAGATTGGCTTAAATTTTGAATACATTATGGGCATGCTGAAATATGAGTTGCGTTGGGTTCCTATCGTAAATATACACAATTCTTCTTCAGGACTCAAGTCCAAATTATTAATAGAAACAAAGATATATGTCTTTCACTCAGGTGCATACTCTTCAGGTTTACTAAATCAACCGTGTTACGGAGATTGGCTTAAATTTTGAATACATTATGGGAATGCTGAAATACGAGTTGCGTTGGGTTCCTATCGTAAATATACACAATTCTTCTTCAGGACTCAAGTCCAAATTATTAATAGAAACAAAGATATACCTCTCTCACTCAGGTGCATACTCTTCAGGTTTACTAAATCAACCTTGTTACGGAGATTGGCTTAAATTTTGAATACATTATGGGAATGCTGAAATACGAGTTGCGTTGGGTTCCTATCGTAAATATACACAATTCTTCTTCAGGACTCAAGTCCAAATTATTAATAGAAACAAAGATATACGTCTTTCACTCAGGTGCATACTCTTCAGGTTTACTAAATCAACCTTGTTACGGAGATTGGCTTAAATTTTGAATACATTATGGGAATGCTGAAATACGAGTTGCGTTGGGTTCCTATTGTAAATATACACAATTCTTCTTCAGGACTCAAGTCCAAATTATTAACAGAAACAAAGATATACGTCTTTAACTAAGGTGCATACTCTTCAGGTTTACTAAATCAACCGTGTTACGGAGATTAGCTTAAATTTTGAATACATTATGGGAATGCTGAAATACGAGTTGCGTTGGGTTCCTATCGTAAATATACACAATTCTTCTTCAGGACTCAAGTCCAAATTATTAATAGAAACAAAGATATACGTCTTTCACTCAGGTGCATACTCTTCAGGTTTACTAAATCAACCGTGTTACGGAGATTGGCTTAAATTTTGAATACATTATGGGAATGCTGAAACACGAGTTGCGTTGGGTTCCTATCGTAAATATACACAATTCTTCTTCAAGACTCAATTCCAAATTATTAATAGAAACAAAGATATACGTCTTTCACTCAGGTGCATACTCTTCAGGTTTACTAAATCAACCGTGTTACGGAGATTGGCTTAAATTTTGAATACATTATGGGAATGCTGAAATACGAGTTGCGTTGGGTTCCTATCGTAAATATACACAATTCTTCTTCAGGACTCAAGTCCAAATAATAATAGAAACAAAGATATACGTCTTTCACTCAGGTGCATACTCTTCAGGTTTTCTAAATCAACCGTATTACGAAGATTGGCTTAAATTTTGAATACATTATGGGAATGCTGAAATACGAGTTGCGTTGGGTTCCTATCGTAAATATACACAATTCTTCTTCAGGGCTCAAGTCCAAATTATTAATAGAAACAAAGATATACGTCTTTCACTCAGGTGCATACTCTTCAGGTTTACTAAATCAACCGTGTTCCGGAGATTGACTTAAATTTTGAATACATTATGGGAATGCTGAAATACGAGTTGCGTTGGGTTCCTATCGTAAATATACACAATTCTTCTTCAGGACTCAAGTCCAAATTAATAATAGAAACAAAGATATACGTCTTTCACTCAGGTGCATACTCTTCAGGTTTTCTAAATCAACCGTATTATGGAGATTGGCTTAAATTTTGAATACATTATGGGAATGCTGAAATACGAGTTGCGTTGGGTTCCTATCGTAAATATACACAATTCTTCTTCAGGACTCAAGTCCAAATTATTAATAGAAACAAAGATATACGTCTTTCACTCAGGTGCATACTCTTCAGGTTTACTAAATCAACCGTGTTCCGGAGATTGGCTTAAATTTTGAATACATTACGGGAATGCTGAAATACGAGTTGCGTTGGGTTCCTATCGTAAATATACACAATTCTTCTTCAGGACTCAAGTCCAAATTATTAATAGAAACAAAGATATACGTCTTTCACTCAGGTGCATACTCTTCAGGTTTACTAAATCAACCGTGTTACGGAGATTGGCTTAAATTTTGAATACATTATGGGCATGCTGAAATACGAGTTGCGTTGGGTTCCTATCGTAAATATACACAATTCTTGTTCAGGACTCAAGTCCAAATTATTATTAGAAACAAAGATATACGTCTTTCACTCAGGTGCATACTCTTCAGGTTTACTAAATCAACCGTGTTACGGAGATTGGCTTAAATTTTGAATACATTATGGGCATGCTGAAATATGAGTAGCGTTGGGTTCCTATCGTAAATATACACAATTCTTCTTCAGGACTCAAGTCCAAATTATTAATAGAAACAAAGATATACGTCTTTCACTCAGGTGCATACTCTTCAGGTTTACTAAATCAACCGTGTTACGGAGATTGGCTTAAATTTTGAATACAATATGGGAATGCTGAAATACGAGTTGCGTTGGGTTCCTATCGTAAATATACACAATTCTTCTTCAGAACTCAAGTCCAAATTATTAATAGAAACAAAGATATACGTCTTTCACTCAGGTGCATACTCTTCAGGTTTACTAAATCAACCGTGTTACGGAGATTGGCTTAAATTTTGATTACATGATGGGAATGCTAAAATACGAGTTGCGTTGGGTTCCTATCGGAAATATACACAATTCTTCTTCAGGACTCAAGTCCAAATTATTAATAGAAACAAAGATATACGTCATTCACTAAGGTGCATACTCTTCAGGTTTACTAAATCAACCGTGTTACGGAGATTGGCTTAAATTTTGAATACATTATGGGAATGCTGAAATACGAGTTGCGTTGGGTTCCTATCGTAAATATACACAATTCTTCTTCAGGACACAAGTCCAAATTATTAATAGAAACAAAGATATACGTCTTTCACTCAGGTGCATACTCTTCAGGTTTACTAAATCAACCGTGTTACGGAGATTGGCTTAAATTTTGAATACATTATGGGAATGCTGAAATACGAGTTGCGTTGGGTTCCTATCGTAAATATACACAATTCTTCTTCAGGACTCAAGTCCAAATTATTAATAGAAACAAAGATATACGTCTTTCACTAAGGTGCATACTCTTCAGGTTTACTAAATCAACCGTGTTACGGAGATTGGCTTAAATTATGAATACATTATGGGAATGCTGAAATACGAGTTGCGTTGGGTTCCTATCGTAAATATACACAATTCTTCTTCAGGACTCAAGTCCGAATTATTAATAGAAACAAAGATATACGTCTTTCACTCAGGTGCATACTCTTTAGGTTTACTAAATCAACCGTGTTACGGAGATTGGCTTAAATTTTGAATACATTATGGGAATGCTGAAATACGAGTTGCGTTGGGTTCCCATCGTAAATATACACAATTCTTCTTCAAGACTCAAGTCCAAATTATTAATAGAAACAAAGATATACGTCTTTCACTCAGGTGCATACTCTTCAGGTTTACTAAATCAACCGTGTTACGGAGATTGGATTAAATTTTGAATACATTATGGGAATGCTGAAATACGAGTTGCGTTGGGTTCCTATCGTAAATATACACAATTCTTTTTCAGGACTCAAGTCCAAATTAATAATAGAAACAAAGATATAC